AGTAGAGGCACTGACCCCCAAGGCCAAGCCATCTTCGTATGCGAAGAGATGGTGGACGGCCGACCTCACACAGCTCCGGCAGATCCACACTCACTGGAGGAACCGGGCGAGGGCGGAGAGAAGGGCAAATAACACCCAACCCGAGCTGGAAAAACGCGCCCGCTCGGCCGCCAAGCAATATCACGACGCCATCCGACAACAGAAGAAGAGCCATTGGGAAGACTTTCTGGCCAGCGACACAAACATCTGGAAGGCCGCGAAGTATCTCGACGCCAGCAAAGGGGCTTCCTTCGACAAGATCCCCCGTTTAAAAAGAGCCGATGGTTCCCCAACGGAAGACGCCGCAGAGCAGGCCGAAGAGCTGCTTTCCACATTCTTCCCTCCTCTTCCCAACACGATTGAGGAGGAGGGGGAGCGGCCACAGAGGTCGCCGGTACCCTTCCCTAACCTCACGCTGGGAGAAGTAGAGAGACAGCTCTTTGCGGCAAAGCCGTGGAAAGCACCCGGAGAAGACGGTCTGCCAGTGACAGTGTGGAAGCACACATGGCCAGTGGTGAAGGGGAGGGTGCTAACACTCTTCCAGACCTCACTGGATGAAGGGACGCTGCCTCAGCAATGGCGCCACGCCAAGATCATCCCGCTGAAGAAGCCAAACAAAAGCGACTACGGCATAGCAAAGGTCTGGCGACCGATCTCGCTTCTCTCGCAAGCAGAGGTCGGCAGAGCAGGCGCTGATACTTCTGCAGGAGTGCATACATACATACATATGTTGCTTCTCTTGGCAACACACTTCATCTTTTTCGACTTGACCCACACAGGCTGAACTGAAGATTATGCTCACTGTGTACATGTGACCACGATTTAAAGTGCGAGAGTGACTGCTGTAGCACAACAAGCGACTTGGTTCATGAGGTTGTGGAGACTGTGTCTCGGGATAGTGGAGTACGGGCGCAACTGCATCCAACTGATGCTTAATCAGAGATGCATATTCTCGAGACACAGCTGTAAGCTTCCAGCTCATGAACAAGCGACTTCAGTGCATTCTTAGAGAAAATGGAAAGAATGACTGTAACATCATGTCGCGTTGTGGTGGAAACAGTAATATAGTATCATGAGGGTGATGACAGCAACTCACAGTTCCATGATTCAGTCAACACGTCGTCACTCAGAAATTCTCGTTACGCCTGCAAATATGATGAAAATTGGACAATCTGCTTCAGCTACAAAGACTTCGATCGTTGTTTTTGAGTAAGAGCGTCAATCTTTTATGACTCTCTTTACGGCTTTGACGATTTCTCTTCGCCCAGGCTCCTCCAGTCTTGGGCCGATTTCCTGGTACTGGGGGAGAAGCCCATGATGAAGTCGTCAACATCTTCTTGATCCGCCGACGTAGCTGAGTACCGCGCTCTCGTTCTTCGATTGCTCTTCCTCTATCTTGAGAAGCTTTGAGGTAGGTCTCTAAGCGCCTCGACAGAGCCATTGCATGAGTCTGATGTTCTTTGCTTCCATTGGCCAGGGCTTCGATTCCCTCGCTCAGGTATTCATACCCCTTTTCCGGACTAGGCAGTTGATTTGGCCCTTGCGTCTCTATGTAATGAGAGGCTAGCAACTTAGTCGTGAAAGTAAAGGCCTGTAGAGCGAGAACGTCATACGTCTTTTCCACCCTCGCCTCCTTACAGCATCTGTCTTTTGTTATGGTCCAAATATCAGCTGCCTGTTGTATGAGATTTGGGGCATTGTTCTTGGGCTTCGCAAGTGCCGAAAGATAGTCAAAATGGAACGATATGTCACTCTCAGACATGATTTGGGCCGAAATGAAACTCGAGGCCCCCAGGTCATCATAGCTGGACTCGATATCCTCTTCGCGGGGGCTGAATCGACTTCTCCAATTCCTCACACAATGGGCAGTCAGGCTGAGAACCATGGCGTGTTCTTGACCAAGTATACTAGCAATGACATGAATGGCCTTCCAGCATGCAAGGCCCAAGGTGGTCTTGAGGTCGAGAGGAGTTGAAGTTGTGACGACTGCCAGGGAAATGACAAAATCGGTTATTGGATGATGTACACCAACAGACGAGGATAGGACTTTCTGGAGGCGCAGCAGAAAAGACCTAAACAGCAAGAAGCTTTTGCGATCTCCGACGCGAACGCTCATTAAAGTCAGGGAAATCTTCCAGAAATGGACCAGGAAACTTGGGTTGCAAAGCTGTGTGGAGGATCGTAGGGTTTGTCCGGCGTCTTCCCATACGCTGAATGCTTCTCCATATTGCGCAGCATCAGACAGTATTGCGATGCATCGGCACTTTTCAGAGACCAGTTGCCAGTCAGGGGATGTTTTGCCGTTGGCTAAGTCCGGTGACGTGAAGTTCGTACTTCGAGGGTTCACCGCTTTCCAGCTCTGGCTGCCAGAAGCGAAAAGCCCTTTCACGAGATGGTCAAGGGCGTGGAACATCTTCTCCTGCTGAACATAGGTTGTTGCAAGTCCAAATTGTGGCCTCTGTCTGTCCAGCCCCAGTCTCCTTTCATTCATTGAAGCGAACTTCAGGTCTTTGACTATGGTGGCGGTAGCTGGCATGGAATATGCGATACGCCGGCGTTTTGCAACCAGCCCTCCAGAGCCTTTATGCCTGGAACTATTCTTGGATAACCCCCAAAGCTTGAGCTTTCTTTCTAGCGTCGGCTTTCTAATGAAATGAATCAGCTATTGATCGTATTTTACTGCTAGGTAAGTTATAAGCGTATAGAATTACGTACGTAAGTCTGTGTCCATGAATGACAAGCATCTCGAACACCACCTCGTCCACTGTGTGACTTTCCTGTATGTAGAGTCGGCGGAGATGGTTGTCTCTAAGCACCTCCCAGTACTTGTCTGAGTGTCCCTTTGAGGGTTTCTTCTGGTTCGTCTTGTTTGTTCCGGCTCTCTTCTTAGTCCGTTCGTCGGTGGTCATTGGCTCGTGCATCACGAACTCGATCGCCTTTCGGCTTTCACTCGAGACAGAGATTTCAACCCCCGAAGAACCGCTTTGTTTCTCGGAATATGTCTTGGAGTTGGACTCCGAAGCCCACAACAAATTACCAGATACTGTTATTAGTTCGGTAGCTGAAAGATGAGAACCACAGTAGTCCGAAATCTCGGTGTCCATGAAGGGTACTAGTAAGACGAGAAGATTTAAATCAGCCCTACAATGTCACTTACACCACGCCGGACAGCATTACATACTTGTTAAAAATGGTACATTGGACGTAATCGTCCACGGCACCAAAGAATCCGTGAGACTGATGTCCAATCTGGCATTCGTGACGTGAGACATCGAGTGCTCGCATGACCACGGATCACTGGGGCCGGAAGAGTCGCCGCCAACTGACGAATCGGGCTGGGTTTCCATCTCATTGAGTCCGGTTTGAGGCAACACAAATAAGTCTCCTCCATTTCGACAAAGATCCGAGTAGTCAGGTGAGTCGCCATGCACAAAATGATCTCTCCAAGCACGGGTTTCTGCTGGTGTGCCGTAGCCCGTTCGATTGTGCGAAGCATCATCCAAAGCAGCCTGGAAGGCAGCTTGAACGGTAGCATTGTTTAAGCGTTGCACCATTGGCTGAGATTTTCGGACTTGGGCGTCTCGATGAGTGTCCTGCGTGCAAGTAAATCCCGAGACGTGGGATACTCTCAGGGCGGGGATTTACGAATGAACGCGCTGCCGAGGGATGGAAGATGAGTTGTCTAGAGCAGGTAGGTTGTCTTCTGGCAAACAATAGTGACAGACGACGTCGTACTTCTAGTTAGCCCGAAGATCTCGCCTCGTTTTGACCGGGAAACGAAATGCATCAGCCGATGGAAAGAGGCTTACACGTGCAGTCGTGTTGGAAAACGCCACGCAGGTATTTCTTGGCTCGGATGTGTATTGCATGTGACAATAAAAGATCATTGGCTTGATCCTAAACCATCACATTGGTTTGGGTGATGATAAGCGGTCTCCGCCCTAGGATGCATTAAAACAAGTGGATTCATGTAAGACAGTCCACGAATAGCTGCGTTACTGCCTTACTGCAGACAACCAACCGGACGCGACATCATTTAGGGCGGTAAGACCACTCAACGTCGAATTGGAAGGGCTCCTACTCTTGTCTGGTCCGCGGTCTTTTCAATCTGCTTGCCAATCGGCCACACTGGAGGGCAGCTGCAGTTCTTTCATTAAGCCCTTGGCTTCGACAGCTTCTGGAAAATATAAGTAGGCCGTGGATTTCCGCTCAAGATGGGTCTTGCTGCTGCCATCGAGCAATCGAAACCTGCTTCTCACTTGCTCTCATCATCTTTGCGCGGAGCATTGTTTTTAACGTACTTGCTTTCTTGCCAAGACATTCTGCCCCCTTCTTGTTCAAGATGCAAATCATTTCAACGGAGACCGAAAGTCTTCATGTGTCAAGCTCTACGATGGCTTCTGCCAGCATGCCCATGAAGAATGGTGGCCGACCAAACGACCCCCCCGCTTCCTCCGATCTTGAGAGTGACAAGGGCTCCGACGACTCTCAGCCTCTTCAACGGGCAATTGGGAAGCCAGGGCCGGATATCTCCAAGACAAATTGGAAGTTCTGGTCGTCTCAACAACTGGAATCGCTGGTCTTAAAAGCCAAAGGTGGCGTGTCGGACGCGGTCTTGGCGTTCATCAAGAGCACGTAAGTTTCGAAACTCCCATCTTCAATGTGCTCTCACCAAGCCGTACATCTAGGATGAAAGGCACAAAGTTGATCTTTGTGATGGGGAAGACGGGTACGGGCAAGTCATCGTTACTCAATGAGCTTACCGGAATGAATCTTCATGTCGGAAAGTCGTTAGGCTCCGGTAAGGCAGGATCTAACTTCACACATAAATCATCCCAGCTGAGTTGCTGACCGACGTCTAATCACGCAGGAACCCGGCAATACCACGTCTGCCCGGCCGTCATTGACGATCAGCAGTATCTCTTCATAGACACAGCTGGCTTCGGCGCCGCCGATTTAGACGACGAAGAGAATTTCCGAGACATCATGACATGTCTGTCAACACTTCGCCCATTCGTCACCGTCGCCGGTGTTCTATTTGTCTACGGGCGAATGGAACGCCTTCTGAGCAGTGACCTGCGCACTCTGCGATGGATCGAATGCTTTGGGGGTCCCGGCTTCTTCCGACACATCACGATTATCACGACAAAATGGGATGAGCTCTCGCAAGACACTTTTGAGGACAGATGGGCGATTACGACGGACTTCGAAAACCACAACGCTGTCCGTTGTCTGTTAAACCCTCCCGGGCGACTTCACGGGGCCACCATTTACCATCATGGCCTACCTGGGGGCAATGGTTCTATGGACTCATGGAGCAGCCTCTTTTCTAAGAAGAGGTGTGCCGTCGAGAGAGGCGAGGAGCTTCGCAATCTCATCCGACGTAAGTATACAAACAAGAACGTTGGCGAGCTCCAGGTTGTTCGAGAAATGAAACAAGGAAGGGCCTTGTGGGACACGGAAGCAGCGAGGGTTTTAAGGTGTGATTTGAAGCGAACCGACGTGGAAGTATCGGAGGACGGCGCCGCTTTGGTGCCACGACCGGGTCTGGGCCAGGACTGCAGCTTTATCATCTCTCAGAAGGCAGCGAACAACTCAAGCGGCAGATCAGACGACTCTAGGGACACCCAGAAAAGAGACAAATCCGAGGAGCAAACCAAGGGACAATCCGAGGAACAGTCCGAACAGCAACCCCATCAAGAATCCAAGGAACAGCCTGGGGACCAACGTAAGAGTCGACCTAAGACCCAGGCCAAAGAAAGACCTTCTTGGTTTCAAAGTTGGTTCCGGAGTGCTTCTGACTGGTGGACCGTTCTGTCAGAGGCAGCCCGTTTCTTTGCAGAAGCGCGCAACAAAGGATACCAATCCAGCAACCGCAAAGGCGCTGGCTCTGCTCCTTCCTGGAACCCCTGGCAAGCAGCTCGGGAATGGTGGAATGGAACATCGGCCTGAGATTCTTCTTCTCCGATCTTTGTGCAGGGAAGGGCACACACCCGGTACAAGTGCTGGTACAAGGTTGAAGGATCAGTCTTTGCTTGGGAGAATGCAACATGGCGATGGGATGGAATGTCAGGCACTACTCATGACACCATAAGGACATTCTTTTCGCAGTATGATCACCTAAAGTCACGAGGGTGTATGGAATCTTCATTTCCATAGTAATACGAGTTTCATAAATCCCCCTCCCACATAAATCCCCCTCCCATTTATCCTCAAAACGATTCCCCGCTTACCCTCGGCCTCCCCTGATCATACCGACTAACATACCCACAACTCGTCTCATTAGACTTCTGTTTCCCCCTCGCAACGACCTCGAATCTGGGCACAATCGGCCCCTGCCTCTCCACCGGCCCCCACCTCCCTCCTCCGGCACACGCATTCTGCTCCCTCACATCCACCTTGCCCCACGCCCAGAACCCGTCCTTTACGTCGCACGGAAAATCCACCGTCAGCTTCGGCGCGATCTCCGCGGGTATGCCCTCCCACAGCGCGCGGAACTCGGGCAGCAGCCGGCGCGTGAGAGGACACTCGGCGGGTGTGGTGTTTATGATGCGGGATTCGCGGAAGAATTCTATGCTTTCGTCGTATCTGGGGGTTAGACGATCAGTGGTGCGCTCAAGGTGGTCGGGGAGAGGCTGGGGACGTACACTCGCTTGCAAGATACCAACAGCGACATGAAAGCTTGATTCTGGCCCTGGTTTTGATCGAATTTCCGCCCTTCCTTGATATTCTCCCATAACTCTTCACATCTCCAGTGATTTCACCATGGCGACTGCATCCTGAGGAACCATTCCGGATGCCATTGTACCTCGGGGGACTTGGCAAAGTCTCTCGCAAGGCCCAGCTGCCTCTCATCCGGCGCTTCGTGATCCGTAATACACGGCAAGTAACGCGGTATCCCATCATCAATGAACGCGTGCCGTTCCACGCCGCAGGCGATCCAAAACTCTTTATATATCTGCTCGCGAATCTCGGGCGGTAGTCTGCGGAAGAGATGTGATTGGCCTTTGGGGTAGGCCTGCCGCCTCAGTTCTGGGTCTTTGATTCTGGGGGTCTCTTCGGGGATGGGATCGATCTTATTGTTCGAGGTTTACATGTTTTCTCGTCCTCTTCTACTGTGGTCGTCGTGAATGTCGTAAATAGAGATGATTTTGAGAATATGAATCTTAATAGTCTTTCTCGTCGTTTACTGATGGTTGACCTATCATCTTAGGAGTCGCCCTTTGTGGAAAATACTCTCTTGAAGCCGCCTAAACATGATTTTGATGCCCGGCGGAAGAGACTTCGATGACCCATGGGCGGACTGGGATGAGTTTCCATATTAGATATCAGGGCCGGACTTCCAAGCCAAAGGCCGGTGAGAAGGTCGATGGCAGTGAACCACCCACTAAACGCATTTACCGGGCTTCGCCCTTGCGGAAGGTCGCAGCCGACGTTGAGTCTCTGCATCACGACGAACGAATCTGGGTCTTCATGCTCTCGAGTTCCGTCCCAGCCGGTTCGGCGCAATGACGCAAGACCAAAAGAGTGCGTACATGCCCTTTGGAGTCGGTATGAATGCTTGTCCAGCCATCAACGGTTTTGGTAGGAAGATGATCTCGTCCTTAGTCGTGGTGCTTATTACGCGACTCGGTACGAGAGACTCGGGGGCGCGAATATGGTTTGGTGATGACAAGTTAGATATTGATATGAGAGCCCCATTGCCGACTGGACGAAATGATATGGGGGAATGGGTTACAAGTCTTGATAGTATCAACTAAAGGTGTATTAGACGTAGGCGAGAAAAAAGGCTTTTAGGTAGGCATCTAAGTACAGTAAATCCTCTTTTGCCTTTGGACTATGTTGTGTCAGCTGCCTTTTATAAACGTGACTTGGGAAAGGCTGACCGCGCGGAGTGTCGGTTTATGCCGCCGTAGCAGCTTAATCAGATCGCGCGCCGTGCAGTCTAGGCAGATCGGGTGTAATACCTTCAAGCAAGACATAAAAAGCTTTTCCGAGATCTTTAGGTACTGCTGGCGTTGGTCGCGCAAGTCGAAGGGAAGCGCAAGCCGGGACAGAACCATGAAGAGAGAGATGAAGCCTCAGCCACACACTCGAGCTTCGGCTTATGAGTGCTGGCAAGCTTGCCTTTCTGTACATACATACATACATACATAGTTTTATTACGCCCCGGCTAAGCTGTTTAGGGCTCGGATAATTATCTACAGATTCTCCACATTCGTTCATATCCTTGCCTCCCAGAAGCCCATACAAGTCTTGTTCGTCTCCGTATGCGGTTTGGTGCACATGTGCCTTCCTTTTTACTACATTTGATCGATCTATTGCGTGAGCCCCACACAGTAGTAATAGCTCCTGATGACGTATCATATATAACCCAGCGCCAGCCTCGCAGTATGTCGCAGGCATGCCAGCTCAAGTAGCGCGTGAAACATCCCGCACTGTCACTGTGGAGCAGCAGACATGGGTCTTCGGTTGATACTTAGGCTACTTCCCAATACCTAGATCAGAGCATGATCACAGCTCATGTTGGATTATTACGGCTTCTTTCGCGGCCGAAATTGGACTTTCCAACCCGTTTGAAGTAGTTTGCAGTACCAAAATGTAATCTCCACACGTTGAAAAATAATTCTTTGTGCTGGAAGCGGAAGAGACATTTTCACGAAACTGTATGGCGACAGCCCGAGACCAGGAAAGAATAAGCTCGTGCTGGCACACATACAAATCGACTAGCCAGAAAATCTAGTACTGTATCATTTATATGTCCATCACGGATCGTACGAATAAGTTCTAATTCGGCGTGTATGTGATGCATCATGAGCCTGGCGAAGCAGACTATGAGCCTTCGAGAAGCTAGACAGGATTCAACGATGATGAACATCTTCCCTTGTCACCTCAGTCGTGCGTGAAGTTGCTAGTGTCAGAATTCACATGTTGACGAGTCTGTGATCCGCACGAGAAGTTTGCATTTTCATATACGGGCCCATAGAACAGCCTTCCGCCAACCACTTGCTTTTGTCTTACTCTTCATGGCGCGCCTCGATGCGTGTCTATCATAAGGAGATCTGGCGATACAACTACAGCAACCACGATACCCTCATATGGTTGGTGAGTCTGCCCTAGGGATACCGCACTCGGCAGACCTCGCGTGAGGATCATCTGAGTTCCAGTCGAAAGAATTAGTGATAATCGCGCCATCGCGGCTGGCTATCCTGAGATGGAGCGAGCGTTCTGTGGAGGCTTTCCCGTAGACGTGTGCCACTCTATACGAAGATATTGCCTCGCTCTTCTTGGTTGGATGTCGAGCCGCTGCAGAGCAGACGGTGTTGATACCAGCCGTGATGTCTGGAGACGCTATGCTAGTCGGAAAGCTTGTTCCCTGATGCGAATCGCCTTGTACAAACCCCCTTTCCTTCTTGATACTGTCGCTCTCCTCGTCGGAGTCGCAGAAGAGGAAGGCCGACACATGTTCTTGTGGAAGCCTCTGTCCGTGAGGCGTTTCACTTGATGAGGCAATTCTCAAAGGTGAGAATACTGAATGAAGCTTTGAACCCATGATGCGTGTAGACGGACCCTTTGCAACAAATGTTGACTGCGGCATGTTTGAGACCTACATGTCACAAGTGTGTACATACTGCTTTCTACTCACCACAAGCGACAGGCGAATGAACGTGCTGTAGGAGCTGCATCTCATTACTCGAAAAAAGGAAAAACCCCTGTCGAGCGTGTCAGACGAGCATCATGTTTCAACCTAAATGATGAAAAGGTCTTGGTTGCGTTTCTAGGCAGACTAGCCGCAAAGGGTTTCCCAGCAATACCTGATGATTCGTATAGACAGGGTGTACATATATGGAGAAGCCCTGTTCGGATCACGAAAGGCCAGATCTAGATCTTACAGAGAGGATATCAAGGAAGCAGGATCCTCGTCGTGTGGCTGGGGACAACGCCAGTTCCAACGTAGGATACGGCGCACATTTTGAGTCATAAGCAACTTGGAACACGGGGTGTCCAGTAACATCGACGGTGTGTGGCTAGGGAGCATAGCTAGAACCGACGTCTGGTGAGAGCTAAAATCGGATGCCATAGATGGGCTAGTCGGCAAGCGAGATCCTTGTTCTGACGCCAGAAACGACTTGCAACAAGAAAGTGGCAGTACCTTTCCAGCTTAATTCCTGGATCTCGACCTCTAGGTATGTGGGTAGGAGTTGGAAACTGAATGCACAAGAGGAAGGCCTCTCGGTACATACAAAGGCCCTTGATCACGTTTCTGAGAATGCATGATTCCGGCTCACAGGCGTCGACACGGGTTGTTGGAAAGAGCCCGGTGTGAACTCCGCAGAAACGATGTGATGGTGCGTGCAGGCGTGCTGTTGCTTGCTGGAGGTTCCTGTAGCAGAAAGTCAGGCGTGTCCCCAAAAAACAATTTCCGGACACTAGATAATTGCAGCATTAATCATACATACACTATGTTGTTTCCTCTTTACAACACATTTTATTTGCCTGAACTTGACCCACATAGTCTGAGCTCAATATCTTTCCTGTTTGCAAACCATCATAATCTGTATCAGGAGAATATGGCTACTGTGGAAGCCGATTATGGATACTTTCGAGGAGCTCTTGATCACGCGCTGCGACTCGCACTGTCGTTTACTATCCTGACCCACACTTTTGTTGGCAAACCAGTCGCTATAGCCATTACCAGAGGTCTGCGGAGGCCCATCATGCCAGTTTTCGGCTTTTCAAACATTGAGAATGTTTGCGAGAGACGGAGCAACATGTGCACAACACTGTATGGTGAAGGCCCATTTGGGTTCCATCGGTCTTGCGAGGACGAGGCGTCCAAAGCCGACGTGAACACCACTTGTACGTTTGGTATCATCGTCCACCCAAACCGGAGCGATGAGCTCTTTTCGAATAGCCCGATATCCTGAACCTATCTTTAACTTGCGTCCAGAAAAGCCAGAGACCACTCGCGAAAAACGGTACTGTCCACCTAGAGGATGAACGAGATGCCTTTTTCATAACCAAGAGAAGCACCGTAGCGCCTGAATAGCAGAACTCAAGACCTTTCTTGAACGAGATGGTCAACTCTGGATCTGCAATGTATGTATGAGATGCTTCTGGCGTAAAGCGCCGTCCCATGTGACGAAGTCTGA